CAACACTTAGGTAGGGTATTGTGACTTATTCCTCAGTGTTGTTAACGTGTTGTTTAAGGGAATCTACCTGGGGGGTGAACGCCCTCGGGATCCAGTCCTTGACCTGGCCTCCAGGTGGACCAGGGCCTGATCAACCCGGCTGTTACTGCTGGCTGCACGTACTCCAAATATACGAACCACAACCCCGCTGATTGGGTATTGACTTTAGGTATCTGTCCAGCTCGCTCTTGAAGGCAGCCAGGGGTCTATTGGCAATGCCCCCTTTTGAACATCAAAATGGTATACAATACCGACAGGTTGTTAGGTAACAATGCCCCTTATGCCTGGTGAGAGGCAGTTTAACAGTCTTGGGCTCGGACATTTATTGTGTTTTCTCCTTAGTATACTAATGGCGTCTGCCCGTCTTTTGTTTTCGGAGGGAAATGATTTGTGTGTGTAGATTTGGGGCCAGTCCCTCTTGGATTTTCCAGGTGAAGATTATGTATCTTTCTGCCCCCGTTCCAAAAGGGGTACAGGTCAAGGGACTTCAAACGTCCCCCTTAATTAAAGTATTTGGGAGGGCTCGGCACAAGCAACAACAGTGTGTTGCAATGAGTCAATTTTTTTAGGCTAAAAAATGATGTTTTTGTACAATGTTGTTGAAGAGTAGGCTGGTGCTGCGGCATAACCTCGCGTTTGTTAACTGAATCATCAGTATTTATGTGATACTTTTGTTCTTGTGATATTTGTTTATATTAGAATATGCAGTAGGCTATGTGTTATACATCACTGGTTGATAGGTTCAGAGCAAGATCGGGGGGTTTCAAAACCTTCACAGCATTAGTTGTGTGTGTTATCTCCTGATCTTAAATGGATGAATTTTGCTGTGTATAATATGTTGTGTAAATGTATGGTTTGTGTATAAGAAAAAGGTTCAGCATTGTCGTACTGACTTAGTCACCTTACCCCAGCTCTTCGCTTCCCTCTTTCTCCCTCTCACTTGGCTTGACCCCCAAACTGCTGAATCCACAGGGTAATACTTGATGTCCCCCCCATCCTACTGAAATCTTTCAAACTTTAGCTCAAGCTGAGGGGGGATATGATTGAGGTGTATAAATGGAAAACAGGAATAAATAAAGGGAAATCTAAATAGTGTGCTAAAAATATTAGCCAAGACAGGACTCACAGCAATGGTTTTAAGTTGGAAAAATTCAGAGTCAGGAAGGAGCACTCCAGGACTCCAGGAAGATTTGAATAGACTGATTGCAGTGGTCGGAGAAGTGGCAGATGCAGTTTAATATAGACAAATGCAAAGTTCTAAATGTTGGACAGGACAATAACCATGCCACATATAAACTAAATAATGTAGATCTTAATATTACGGATTGCGAAAAAGATTTAGGAGTTCTGGTTAGCAGTAATCTAAAACCAAGACAACAGTGCATAAGTGTTCGCAATAAAGCTAATAGAATCCTTGGCTTCATATCAAGAAGCAAAAAATAATAGGAGTCCTCAGGTTGTTCTTAAAACTCTATACATCCTTGGTTAGGCCTCATTTAGATTATGCTGCACATTTTTTGGTCACCGTATTACAGAAGGGATATAAATTCTCGGGAAAAAATGTACAAAGGAGGATGACAAAGATGATCCCATGTATCAGAAACCTTCCCTATGAGGATGGGATAAGGGCCCTGAAACTGCCTCTCTAGAAAGACGTAAAATTTAAAGGGGGGATATGATTGAGGTTTATAAGTGGAAGACAGGAATAATAAAGGGGATGTAAATGTGTGCTGTTTAATATCTACCTAGACAGGACTCGCAGCCAATGGTTTTTAAGTTGGAAAAATTCAGATTCAGGAGGGATATGGGAAAGTACTGGTTTGGTAATAGAGTTGTGGATGAGTGGAACAAATCCCAAGTACCGTTATAGGGCCAGAACGTTGTGTAGCTTTAAAAATAGGTTGGATAAATACATGAGTAGATGTGGGTGGGTGTGAGTTAGGACCCGATAGCTTGTGCTAACGGGTCGGTTGCCGTGTTCCTCCCTTGAGTCAATGTGACCTGACCTGACTAGGTTGGGTGCATTGGCTTAAGCCGGTAGGGACTTGGACCGCCTCGCATGGGGCCAGTAGGCCTTCTGCAGTGTTTCCTTCGTTCTTATGTTCTTATGTTCTTATGAAAGCCCCTGGTTTGGTAATAGAGTTGTGGATGACTGGAACAACTCCCCAGTACCCTCATAGAAACTAAAACGTTGTGTAGTTTTAAA